TTACAAGATCTAACACCCATTCATGATTAAAATGTTCAATAAAATGCAGGGCTGAATGAGTTTTTCTCGACATACATAAGGCTATTTACAGGAAAGGGCCACAGGAAACATTTCCAATGGTGAAAACTGTAAAGTCTTCCCTCTAAGATCAGGCACAAAAAAAAGGATGCCCACACTCACCACTACTATTCAATATGGTATCGGAATTACTTGCCATACTATTTAGGCAAGAAAAAGTATTAAGGGAATCTAATCTGGGTTGGCTGTGTGCCAGGCAAGTACCCTACTTGCTGTACTATTCTTACACCCCACCCCAGCTTTTCTTATGGGATTGTTTGAAATACTGTTTTTCCAGCCTTTGGCTTTGAGCCTGAGTTTGCCCTAATTAAATGTGTCTCTTATAGACTGCAGGAAGTTGGGTTCAGTTTTATGATCTATCCTGTCACTCAGTGTCTCTTGTTTGGTGCCTGTAGGTCATTGACATTGAATGAGATCATTGACATGTAGAAGTTTGTACTATAGGTACTGAGAGGTTATCATGTTTGTCATTTTACCTCCCTTCAGCACTGAGTTCTTGTCCAGAGTGATCATTTCCAGCTATCCTTGTCATAATGGTCCCTTCTCTATCCTAAGCCTCCCCGCCCCCCATCAACCCACACCAGCACCACCACTTTTGGCAAGCTTTCAGCCATGAACCATTCTTCCTCTCCCTTGTTTCTACTCATCTTGGGTATTAGTCTCATATTTTTTTTAATCCCACAAATGAATGTAATCGTTCTTTGTCTGTCCCTATCTCTTTTACCTTCAGCTGTTTTTAGAAAGTACTTATATAGTTGAGTACTATACTTCTTCCAATTCACTGATGTAGCTGAATTTCTTTACATAATTACTGGTGCTTTATGGGAGTTAGCTTGACTTGAGAGATCAGAGCTCTAATGCTTCCATTTACAGTATCAGGCTCGTGGGTGTGACCTACTGACTTCTGGCAGTTACCAATGACTTATGAAGGAGGACAGAGGCCAGCCAGTGTTCAGGCTCAATGAAGCAGCCTGTTACAGTCATAGTATAACTTCTTTTGATTCTGGGTATGAGTTCCATGGAAGTCAGTCAGAGAAAACTACAAAACTGTTAAACAGGGAAGGGTAAATAGTGATGAATAAAGAGAGAAAAATAAAGATGACAAAAAATAAATCTTATTCAAACCATGCTACTGAACAAAAGTTCTAAAATAGGTAAAAAAATCAAATTCCAATAAAGACAACAAAGTCATCAAGCCACCAATCATTCCAAATGAAATTAATGTTATAAAAGAAAAACAAAACATATTTAAAATGCTAAAAACAATAGGCTAAAAAAAGGTAACAGAATTAAAGTGAGAAGAGGTAGTTTTGAAAGAAATCAGAAATTGTTAGTATAGCAAAACCATTACCAACTGGGACCCACGAACCCCAGAGAAGCCATATGGCCCCATCTAAAAGGTCAGCAAAATCTTGACTCACCACAAGCAACCTTCGAGAATAGCCTACCACTGTGTCAGCAAAACCACATCCCACCAATGGGTTAACAGCCAAGATACATAAAGCACTGGTAGAACTTTACAGGTTAGAAAATAAATCCAAATTCATCAAAGTATAGTGAAACAGATTAAAAAAAACTTCCTCAAAGAAGAAATACAAACGGTCAAAACCCATATGAAAAAATGGCTGGAGCGATAGCACAGCGGTAGGGCGTTTGCCTTGCACGCAGCCAACATGGCCGACCTGAGTTCGATTCCTCCGCCCCGCTCGGAGAGCCCGGCAAGCTACCGAGAGTATCTCGCCCGCATGGCAGGGCCTGGCAAGCTACCCATGACGTATTCGATATGCCAAACACAGTAACAACAAAGTCTCCAATGGAGAAATGGAGACGTTACTGGGCCCGCTCGAGCAAATCGATGATCAACGGGAGGGCCTTTACTTTACTTATATTACTAATCATCAGAGAAATGCAAATTGAAACAGCAATGAGAAATCATCTCACGCTAGTGAGACTGGCACACTTCACAAAGAGAAGCAATCTCTGGGGCTTCTCAGAATGGGGACAGGCAGATCCCCTCTCTGCCTGAAGGTCCAGCAGCCCACAGCCATACCCAACACTTTCTGACGGCCAGCTCCACAAGTCACCAAATCAATCCAGCATCTCTGGGCTACCTCCAGAGTTCATAGCACTGTCAGCCCAGTAGGGTCAGAGCAAGTGGGCAAGTTGCAAGGAAGCACACCAAGCTCAGTGAGTGAAAACAATAACATAGAAGGCTCAACTAGCACCAACCAGCCCAGTAAATCCTCAGACAATGACTTTAGTCATTGTGAGATATGACAATTACTACAAATTGACTTTTATTGATTTAAGTTTTATAATTCCATTTGCCTTTGTGTTGTAACACAATATTTTTTTTGGGAGGGGTCACACCAGCAATGCACAGGGGTTACTCCTGGCTCATGCACTCAAGAATTACTCCTGGCAGTGCTCCGGTGACCATATGGGATGCTGGGAATCGAACCTGGGTCAGCCGCGTGCAAGGCAAACCCGCATGTGCTGTTGCTCCAGCCCCCTGTAACACAATATGAAGTAAATTTGTTTTCCAAAAAGTTTGAGCCAGCTGGTATGCCCATCAGCATTGGATGAGGATTCCTTTTCCCTCAATCACCCCCAGGACTGGTTGTTTTTGTTATGATGTGTGCCAATCTCACTGGTGTGAGCTATTATCTCATGGTGGTTCTGTTTTCCTTTTCCCACTAATGTGATGCAGAGCAATTAGCCATATACCTACTGGCCATCTGTTTGATTGCTTTGGAGAAATTTCTGTTCAACTCTTCTCTGAAGTTGCTTTTTGTTCTTGTTCAGTTTTTTGTTTTAAATATCTTTGAAAAAATAAATTAAAAAAATAAATAAATATCTTTGATAAAACCCAGCTCCTGGAAGTGCGCGACCGCATTAGCGGACGCGCGACTTCTTATTATCTCATTCCTACTTTGGACAAACTGGCAGGCTACCGAATGTAACCTGCCCACACGGCAGAGTCTGGCCAACTCCCTGTGGTGTACCCAATATGCCAAATACCAGTAACAATGATGGGTCTCATTCTCCTAACTCTGAAAGAGCCTTGGATATGGCACTTTTTAAAAAAATCTCAGGGCTAGGACGAAGGAGACGTTACTGGGGCCTGCTCAAGGCAATCGACGAATAACAGGATGGTCGTGATCAAGATCGTGATATTAATCCTTTGTCAGTTGAGTGGTCACTGTCACTGTCTGTCACTATCCTCCTGTTGTTCATCGATTTGCTTGAGCAGGCCCAGTAACATCACCATTGTGACACTTTTTACTGTGTTTGGTATATCGAATATGTCACGGGTAGCTTGCCAGGCTTTGCCATGCGGACAATACATTCTCAGTAGCTTGCTGGGCTCTCCAAGACGGGCGGAGGAATCGAACCTGGGTCAGCCAGGTTGGTCGTGTGCAAGGCAAACGCCCTACCCGCTTGCTCCCTGGTTTGTTGGTTTGTTTGTTTTTAATTCTGGATATTGTTTCTTGTGCAGAATCTTCTTAATTGAACTGTCTTTGCTCCTGTTTGCTTGGCCATTGAGACTGAATTAATGAAGATGCTTCGAGAGTCAATGTTATAAAGTGTTCCACCCAAGTTTTCCTCCATATATATTATGAATTCAGGACAAATATCAAGGTCTTTATTTTGACTTGATTTTTTATTTTGTGTGAGAAAGGGGTATGAGTTTTTTGTTTTGTTCTGTTTTTTAACAGGTGATCAGTTTTCCAAAAGCATTTGTTAAATAAGCTTTCCTTGCTCCACTTCATACACTTTGCTTCATTGTCAAAGATTAGCTATTCATATACTAAATCACTTGTTTCTGGGCTCTTGATTCTATTTCTTTTATCTAAGGGTCTGTCTTTCATCTGCAGTTGTCTGTTCATTGCAGCACTGTTTACAATAGCTAGAATCTGGAAAAAACCTGAGTGCCCAAGAACAGATGACTGGTTAAAGAAGCTTTGGTACATCTACACAATGGAATACTATGTAGCTGTCAGAAAGGATGAAGTCATGAAATTTACATACAAGTGGTACTACATGGAAATCATCATGCTAAGTGAAATGAGTCAGAAAGAGAGGGATAGAAATAGAAAGACTGCATTCATCTGGGGAACATAAAGTAACAAAATAGGAGACTAACAACCAAGAATAGCCAAGATAAGTACCAGGAGGATTACTCCATAGCTTTGAGGACAGCCGCACACGCTAGGGGAAAAGGCAGCTCAAATAGAGAAGGGAGCACGAAATAAAGGGGGTTGGGAGGTTCCTCTCAGGATGGGAAATGCGTGATGAGAGTAGACTATAGTCCAAACAAGATTGCCACTCAATGTCTCTTTTACAAACCACAGCACCCAAAAGGAGAGAGATAACAAAAGGGAATGCCCTTCCACACAGGTAGGGTGGGTTGGGGGTCATGGGGGTGGAGGGATACTGGGATCAGTGGTGGTGGAGAATGGGCACTGGTGGAGGGATGGGTATTCGATCATTGTATAACTGAAACCCAAGCACAAAACTTTGTAAGTCTACAACTGTACCTCATGGTGTTTCACTAATAAAAATTTAAGGAAAAAAATACACAAATAAAATAAATACTTTAATAATGGAAAAAAAAGGGTCTGTCTTTATTCCAGCACCATACTGTTTAGATTACTATAGCTTTATACTATAACTTAAAGTTGGAGAAAGGGATGCTTTCCCATCTTCCCCTTCCCTCGGATTGCTTTTGCTGTTCCATGAAGGAGGTAGTTATTAGTTCACATAAATTTCAATAGCATTTGTTCTAGATACTTTTTGAAAGCTAAAGGTATTTTTATAGAAACTGCAGTGACTATATTGCTTTGCGCAGGACTGTCATTTTGACAATATGATCCTTCTGATTCATGAACAGGAGATGTATTTCCATTTCCTTGTGTCTTCTTTTATTCTTCCTAGTAGTGATTTTGCATGTCATCCTTGTGCAGGGGCCATGCTAATCTTCTCTGTATCATTCCAACTTTAGTATATGTGCTGCCAAAGCGAGCTTCAGGGATAGCACAGAGGTAGGGCGTTTGCCTTAGGGTGTGCAGCCGGCTGGCCAAGCCGGGTTAAATTCCTCCACCCCTCTCAGAGCTACCGAGACTATCTCGCCCACACGCCAAAGCCTGGCAAGCTACCCGTGACATATTCAATATACCAAACACAGTAACAACAAGTCTCACGATGGAGACATTACTGGGCCCGCTCAAGCAAAATCGATGAACAACGGGAGGACAGTGACAGTGACAGTGGTGATTTATAGTTTTTCATTTATAAGACTTTCACGTGTTTGGGTAAGCTGACTCCAGGGCCCTTGATTTATTTGTTTTGAGGCATAATATAAATGGTATTTTTTCCCGAATTTTTCTTTCTTCTTTGTTTGCATACAGAAATGCCATGGATTCTTGTAGGTTAATTTTGCATTTCAGCCTTTACTGTATGAGTTTGTTGTTTCTAAAATATTTTTGGTAGTCTTTAGGATTTTATGAATATAGTATCATGTCATCTAAAAAAATGGTAGTTTGACTTCTTTTTTAATCCAGGTGTCTTTGCTATTTCTTTCTTGCCTGGTTGCTATGACAAGGAATTTCAATACTACACTGACTGTCTACAGTGGGCAACCTTATACTGAGGTAAGATCATTATATCCCTATTTTTGAGATTTTTTTTCTTTTTAATGAATGGGTATTGGATCTTGTCAAAAGCTTTCTCTGTATCTACTGAGACGATTATAATTTTTTCATTATATTGATATGGTGTGTTACAGGGACTGAATTGCATATATTAAACTATTCTTTTTTATTTTATATATTTATTTTTATTGAATCACTGTGAGATACAATTACAAAGCTTTCATGTTTGAGTTTCAGTCATATAATGATCGAGCACCCATCTCTCCACCAGTGCACATTTTCCAACACCAATGTCCCCAACCCTCCCCCTGCTTCTATGACATTCTTTCTCTACTTTTGGGCATTATGGCTTGCAATATAGATACTGCAAGGCTATCACTTTTGGTCCTTTATCTACTTTTGGCACACATCTCCCATCCTGAACGATCCCTCCAATCATCGTTGACTTAGTAATCCCTTCTCTATTCCAGCTGCCTTCTCCCTCAGCTCATGAGGCAGGCTTCCAACTATAAAGCAATATTCCTGGTCCTTGTGTCTACTGTCACTGAGTGTCAGTATTAAACTATTCTTAAATCCCTCAGGAAAATTCTTCTTGATCAGAGAGAGGACCAATAAAGATACATTGAGGATCTGTCTAGTGGCCAAAGTGGGTTGTTGAAGTATACCACTATGATTGCATTTCTGAAAGGCCAGGCAGGTAGAATCAAGGGCTCTGCATTGAATTATAAGTCATATCATTGAATTCAGGAATGCCAGTCTGCTCCACAGGTCAGGAGTAAATGCCTCCTGTGAAGATGCAGACACACATTTCTTCCCCTCTTCAAATTCACCCCAAATATACAAAGACATCCTAACTGTAGTTTTCTAACCACACAACAACACACAAGTAATAAATTCAAAATGCAAAAGTCACCATGGTAAAGCAACACAGAAACGACCTAGCTTAGTGCATGAAGATGGTAGTCCTGATGACCTAACAAGTCATAATGACCTACATAAGCTCACTGAGAAGGAATTTAGAATGGAATTGTGGAGGATGAATAAGGAGCTCAAAGAAACAATGGAAGAACCACCAATAAAATACAAGAGGACATGAAAGCACAAATGAGGAAAATACAAATTAAAATACAAACAAATGACAGATATGAAAAACCTGGCAGGTGAAATTAAAAACTCACTAGAAGGTCTCAGCAGCAGAGATAACAGCTGCTGAGGACAGAATCAGTGAGCTCCAAGATGAGGTACAGAAAATCTTCAGAAAAAAGCAAAATATGGAAGAGAGCATGATATGACTCAAAATAAACCAATAGATGAAAAGAGAACTTTGAGATAAATTCAAGGGGAACAGCATACGAATCACTTGAGTCCCAGAGTTCTGGAAGACACTACATTGCCAGAGATCTCTCCAGACCCGTATTGAGCCAATTCCACCGGGGCACCCCAGATGGAGCAGGTGTGCTCTTCCTACCTGCTCCAGATGAAACCTGCGACCAAGAGTTTCCAGAAGCAAGGTCCAGGTATGTGGGTTCCAGGACTACGACTCCAGGCCTCATGGCAACAGCAGAGGCGTTGGGCTATCCCTCCCCACACGCTCATCAGCCAGGCTGTCACCCCCAGGATGTGCCTCTGGGCGCCATCTCAGCACACCAATGGTCCTGGTTCAGAGATTCCCAACTGAATCCCAAAATGGATTAGCTCCCTACAGAGATGTCTCTGGACCCCAACCATTTACAATTTTAGAATTCCAGAAGTGTGTGGCCACCTTCATGGCTGCACAGCCTCTCATAATATTCAAAGTGAGCAATAGAAAATATTAATTATTCAGCATCTACCCCTGGCAGGCAGACTTGAATGGTGGAGGGAAAATTCAAGAAAACTATAATGCCCCAAAGTAGACACAGAGTATGGGGGAAATTGTCTGCGATGGAGGCAGGGTAAGGACTAGGGTTGGGTGGGGGTGGGGGGAATACCAGGGACATTGGTGGTGGAAAATGTGCACTGGTGGAGGGATGGATGTTCCATCATTGTAAGGCTGAAGCTCAAACATGAAAGCTCTGTAACTGTATCTCATGGTGATTCAATTAACAAAAAGAAAGAAACATTAAAAAAGAGGGTTTAGGATGTAGTTAAGTGGTTTTAGTAGTTTGAGGGTGCACTTACACTGTGCGTGGAGGCATGAATTTGATCACGGAGAAGGAGGGAAAGGAGGATCTGTCAAAGATGAATCCTGCCTATCTAAGTGACTCTAAAATATTTAACCAGTCATGTTTGAAATGTTAAAGGGTATCATAAATGGCGGAGGAAAGGATGAAGCCTGATCTAGTCTACTATTACAGAGCATAAGCAAAGATTTGATCGTTCTGTCACTTTAATTCTGAAGCTACTCTGCAGAGTTGGTTGTAAGCTGATCATTTTGTTTAATGGAAATGAAAGTTTACCTGAGTTTATATAAACAGAGTGTGTGCTTTATTTACTATGTTCTACTATCAGTCTCCTGCCTCCGCACCTGGCTATCCTCACTGGTACCCCTGGCGGGGGGGGGGGGGGGGTTGAGTTTCCCTCCCCGTCCTGAGCAGAGCCCCGGAAGCCGAAGACCTCCGGAATCCAGCCACAGCCATGCTCAAGGCCACTCTCCAAATGCTCAGATGAGCCTCACACAAGGAACCGGCAGAGGAACCCAGGTGTGCATGTGGGACCTGGGGCTGAGATCTCCAAGTCTGCTCGGATCGGGACTGGGCCTCCACCCAGATCCCCCTTTTTCCAGTAGCTAGGCAGTCACACCCACAAACTGCCCCCAGCCTCATGCAATCCCATCATCGGCCAAGATCCAGAAACTATAAAACAAAGCTCCCGGAAGGGCACAGCCACATTTGCGGCTGCTTGACCTCTTATAGTACAGTTCTCCCTCTCGAAGAATCCAGCAAGCTACTGAGACTATCCTGCCCGCACGGCAGAGCTTGGCAAGCTCTTCGTGGTGTATTTGATATGCCAAAAACAGAAACAATAATGGATCTCATTTCCCTGAACCTGAAAGAGCCTCCAATGCGGTACCATTGGGAAGGACAAGTAAAAAGAGACTGCTAAAATCTCAGGCCTAGGATGAATGGAGACGTTACTGGCACCCACTCGAGCAAATTGATGAACAATGAGATGACAGTGATACTATCACACCAAGTTCAAGACCTGTAACTCATTTAATACAAGTAAGAATTTTAAGGGCTGATAATAGTCTATTTTGAGCTGTCAGTAGACACAGAGTCAAATCTTTCCCCTAAAAAACATGAACAACTCCAAATCACCCATGCCTCTCCCTTTTTAATTAATGTCAACATGATACAATGATTAAGGGCTGTGGGAGTCAAACTACTGAGGTTAAACACCCCCCCCCCCATACACTAGGGCTGTGACCACCTTGGGAGAGTTATTTAATCTCTCTGAACTTCAGTTTCTACCTCTAAAAAAGGAGGAAAACCAATAGGGTGACAGTTAATAGTAAAATGTATCAGTATACAAAAAGCATCAGACATAGGACGGACATACTGCAAGTATTCAAAAATTATTAACTAATTATTAACTAATTATTAACCAATATCATTCATTATGATGTTTCTAATAAAAATAAGTTGATGGCTTTCTCTAAGATTTCTCCACTAGTTAGAAACTTTCTTGGCAAGTCTAAATGCCTGTGAGCAAAACTGCCCATGAAAACAAGGGAGCCAACAGTGAGAACAAGCATCAATGTCTTGGACAGGCCACATGATACACAAATCTGACAGCTCCTGAATTATTTACTTTACCCATGGTGTGTTTGATATGCCAAAAACAGTAACAATAACAGGTCTCATTCCCCTGACCCTGAAAGAGCCTCCTCCAATACACAGTGTTGGGAAAGAAGAGTAAGGAGAGGCTGTTAAAATCTCAGGGTTGGGATGAATGGAGAGGTTACTGGTGCCTGCTCAAGTGATACCACAAATATTAGAGTTAGAGGTTTCAAAAATTTGCTAATCCAGTTTCTACTACATTAAAAATATGGCAATAAAAGAGCTTGGCAGCTTCAAGTCACAGGTTGTATCAAATCCTAGTTAACAATCAAAATAACAATAAATGTGGTATAGATCTTAATGATTACGTTACATTATACTTGTGATCTGTTCTTTTTAGAGCAGCAAATAAGAGTCTACATGAGTGAGAACCAAATTTAAATAATCTATAAACTCTGAATATAACCTGGAAATCTCACCCTCTTTTTGTTTACAAGACCAAACACAGCATAGTACATAATTTGAAATCCAAATACATCACATAGGAAACTAGATTTCAATCCTATCTATACCTATATTAGCTATGTGGCTCAAAATATTTCATTTCTCT